GCCCCCCCCCCCCCCAACAAAGCTGCTACATGGGCCCCTCTGATCTGCCAACCAGGAAGATTTTAAAATGCAGCGGGCTTTATTTTAATCAACTTAATCGGCTTCGAGGAGAATGCTGGGGGTGGGGAGGGACGCTAGAGAGAAGGATGGGAAAAGGGCCAGCGCTTGCACTGTTTGATTAACCTGGCAAACAGAACCTTTGATTTTCTTTTGTAAAACCCTGTTGAATTTTTAAAATTTAAAATAGGAAGGAAAGAAAGAAAATGGCTTAGGCGTTTGTTGGGACAGGGCCATGGCACGGAGCCTTGGGATTTCTTCTGTTCCCTTTCAGGGCTTCCAGGCCTCCAGGCCTCAGTTTGCAGTTTCCACCTGCTGGTGAGGCAGCCAAGGCTGCTTTGGAAGGCCGGAGGGGCAGGATGGCAGGGGGTCTTGCTGTCATTTTCATTTACACCAACATTTCATGTCAAGAGTGCTTTAGATGCAGATGGCAAGAGCCAAACCAGGGAAGTCTTCAGCCACCTCTTCTCCCAATCGAAACAAAACTCACAGCTGCTCCCAAACTCCATGCTGGCTCAACCCTTGCACTTTTGCACAGGCTGGGCCTCTGTTAGAAATTCTCTTCTGCCCTCCTCACCTGGGAAATTCAGCTATGATATGATGTAGCCCCACTGTCACCCCTTCTCCCGACACAATTACTCTCTCCTCCAGGCGCCGTTGGTTCCTTGCAGCACCTGAGGCTGGCGCTGCCCTTCATGTCCCACAATTGTTTTCATGTCATGTCATGCCCCCACTCAGCTGGGAGCTCCTTCTGGGAAGGGGCCGTGTCTAATTCATTCCAGAACCCTTAGCATTCAGCATAGCTCCTTGGCACAGGATAAATGCCAAAAATTCTTTATAGATTGAATAAATGACTAAATTAATGGATAAATGAGATGTACTTCCTAATATCTGTTCTCTCATTGAAACATCAGACAAGAGATTGTAAGCTGGATTTCCTTGCAGAGGTACTTTGTTTGGTTCATGAAATGTTGTAAGAATAAAAAAGAAAAAAAGACAATTCATTGCCACCACTTAAAAATGGGGAGATTCCCCTCAAGAGCCAGATTTCTGGCTTCTCTGCAGATTTGGAGGACATGGCAGCTCAGGGTCCCTGTTTTTCGGAGCCAAATGCACCGCCCCTGTAGCCAGGACAGATACCCTCCAGTGCTCCACAGTCCCCACCCCTCCCTAATGTTCTGCACCCCCCACTCCCCTGAATTTGGGGTTCTTGCTCAGAGGCTGAGCAGTTGTAGTAAGTCCCGTCTGCTAAACAAGCAACCACTGCATGTCGGACATTGGTTGAGTTGTCCCTTTTATCTAAAAGGAGCCTCTCCCTGTATCTGAGATCTCATCAGGCTTCATCACCAGGAATGTGCCTGTGACTTGACAGAGCCAGAGAAGGAGGAGATTGGCCAACTCTGGGGTTTTGTCCACACCCAGGAGATTGGAGGCCCAGGCACCAGCTGCGGGGGAGAATAAAGGGGGCTTGTTGCAGTGACAATGGTGCCTTTCAGGAGGGAGGAGGTTGCTTTTGTTGAGGGGGAGAGATGAGTTCAAGGGGTTTTCACTTATTCTGGCAAGTTTCTCAAGCGCTGCAAGAACTTTTAGTGCTCTGGGCAGCTGCGACGGGTCAAGAAGCCACATCCCCAAATCCTGCGGATGAGACTCATTCGTTTACTGAGCAGGAGGGCCAAAAATGGGTCACTGTGGCTGCTTGACAAAGGAGGAGACTGAAGTCTGACCCTTCATCGCAGGGAAGGGGGCTGTAATTGATTTCCCTTCACATTTCTGTCAGCAGGAGGAATAACAGGAGGGCTAAGTGGGAATCGTGGTGTTCAAAGCCAAAGAACGTTAACCTGCGGATAACTCCGGGCCTCATTAGCAGCTGAGCCTTCTGATGTTTCCTCTGCACAGACAGAAGAGAACAAGGCAGATGTGAGGGCTGACCTGATGCCTGCTGGGCAGAGCTCCAGGTGGCAGGCCAGCCGGCAGCGTGTCTGTGGCTCCCTCCTGCCCCATCATGGGCAGTAACGGAGACAGCAGGACAAGAACCAGGGCACTTTCAGGCTGTTGTTCTTCCACTCGGTCCTCTCAAAACCCCAGGCTGTGGGCATTGCTACAGCACCCGCACCATGGATAGAAGACCAGAGCTCAACAAGGCACGTGAGCTGCCCAGGGCTGCTTAACGCACATGGCGGAGTGAGGATTTGAACCTACATTTTTTTAAAATTATTTTTTTCATATATATTTTTTTTATTGAAACATAATTGATTATACATATTTGTAGGGTACAGATTTGAATATCAATACATGTGTAACAAAATGTGCTGATCAAATCAGGACAATTAGTATACTCATGTTTACAAAATGTAATCAATCTTTGTGACTCTTAACTAATTTCTCGCTAACCCCCCCTCTCTCCACCTTTCCTACTTCTAATAACCACAGTTCTGTTCTCTTTTTTTTTAAAGTTCAGTGTATTATTGTGATTCTTTCTTTTCCTTCCTTCCTTCTCCCACTTATGAAGGACGACGTGCGGTATTTCTCTTTCTGTGCCTGGCTTATTTCACTTAACATAACTTTATCTAAGTTCATCCATGATGCTGTGAATGGCAGAATTTCATTCTTTTTTATGGCACAGAAATATTCCATTGAGTATATATACCACATTTGCCTTATCCAGTCATCTGTCAATGGACATTTAGGTTGGTTCCAACTCTTGGCTATTGTAAATAAAGCTGCAATAAATATGGGAGTGCAGGTATCCCTTCAACACGATGATTTCCATTCCTTTGGGCATATACCCAGCAACGGGATTGCTGGACCATATGGCAGTTCTATCTATACTTGTTTGAGGAACCTCCATACTGTTTTCCACAGTGGCTACACTAATTTACAGTCCCACCAACAGTGTAGGAGGGTTCTCCTTTCTCCACATCCTTGCCAGCACTTGTTATTCTCTCTCTGATAATGGTCAGTCAAATTTGGGTAAGATGACGTCTCAATGTGGTTTTGATTTGCATTTCACTGATGATTAGTGATGTCGAGCATTTTTTCATGTGTCTGTTGGCCATTTGTATTTCTTCCTTTGAGAAATGCCTACTCAGCTCCTTTGTGCACTTTTTAATTAGGTTACTTGTTTTCTTACTATTATTTGAGTTCTTTGGTTATTAATCCTTTGTTTGCAAATATTTTCTCCCATTCCATTTTTTGTCTTTTCACTCTGTTACTTGCTTCTTTTGCTGTGCAGAAGCTTTTTAATTTTCATATAATCCCATTTGTTTATTTTTTCTTTTTGCCTCTGCTTTTGGGGTCTTATTCATAGTCTTTGCCCAGTCCTGCATCCTGAAGTGTTTCTACTACTGAACCTAGATTTTTAATTCACTAATTCATTCTGTCTCCATTCAGATTCCCCCAGAAACAGACCCTGAGGCAAGGATCCAGTGCACGTGGTTTATTCAGACAGTGAAGGAAACACCAGTAGTAGAGTGGGGAAGGGAGATAGGGGAGGGAAGCCAGACCACAAAGGTGTGTTATCAAGCCAGCTGCTCCTGGGCAACTGGGGCTTAATCCCACCAGTAAAGCTGGGAGCCAGCGTGCAGAAGCCCTCAGAGTAACTCACCCACGGGATGAGGGCACTAGGGATTTATACCCTTACTCCCATCAGTGTTGGCTGAGGGCTGCTCCTGGGGGCTTCAACAGCACCCCACCCCACCCCCACTCCTCATTTGGGCCTCCTGCATGGG